TGGTCAAATCGCTCGGATACTGAATGCTAAATCTATCTTCGAAAATCGGCCGACCCTGCCAGCGCGTGGAAGACGCATCCCGGCGCCGTCGTCTTGCGCGGGTCGCCGCCGTCGCCGCCCGAATCAGAAATTATCCTGGCGAAGGACCCAACCAGATGCAGTTGTGCGCACCGCAACTGTGAGCATCTTCTTCGGCAGCGATCCCCAGGGGCTACGAAACGCCTGAGGGCTGCGGCGGGGCCTTCGGTGGAGCTCCCTGTGGGGCCACGAAACGCGCAATGAGTGTGCCGATATTGGCGCTGTGGGCGCATTGGAACGCTCTCAACCTGCTGGAGGAGGCCCTGCACCATCTGGCACCAGTCGTCGTAGTCGCCCAGGGCGTCGTAGGCAACGCCAAACTTGCCCGCGCGCGCAACCCCCTCTCGGCACCTGGCGATGGCATCTCGCAGGCGCCGTTCTGGGCAGCCACGTAGCTCCTGGAACTCCGGGCTCATCCTGCGCTCAAGGGGCTGGTGAACCAGGCCCTTGACTGGTCGCAGCTGGCCTGCCAACCGCGTGGGGATCTGCCTGGGGTGGCAATGCAGCTGTTCTTAATGATTCACACCTCGGGCAAGGAGACCTCCTTGAACTGGATGCCCCCCCCCGCAGCTGCGCCCCCCTGGAGTCGCGGTCCGCGACGCCCTGGAGGTCGGCCCTGGCCGCGTCGATCCACTCCGCGCGGGCCTTGTCAACCGCCGCCCGGTAACCTGGGAGGCCGCGGCCTCGCCCCTCTGGCCCGCCCTCTACCAGCTGCTGGCAAGCCTCGTCGAGCCTGCGATGCACCTCCGACCAGTTGGGGAGGCTCCTGACGGGGGGTCACGGGGGCCAAATGTGGGTAGGTGCGCCGTGGTGGGCGGCATCCCTACCCTGGGCAACTCGACACGCTGGCGGAGCTGCATGTGGACCACGTCGCGGGTCGTCAGCGCAAAGGACGGATTGGTGGCTGGCTGCCCCATGGCCACCGCACGTCCGCCCGCGACGAAAAAGTCTCCGACGTCGCGGGCGCCGCTGCTGCCGTGGCAGGTCGGGCCCCGGGGAACGTGCGCCTGGATGCCTTGCGCGCGGAAGTCCGCGAAGCTTGCCATGTCCTCGGAGCCCATGTTCACGTCGCGCCCCATGATCCACGGCAGGTTGCGGCGCGACCAGTGCTCGCGCAGCTTTTGGACGGAATTGGGGTCATGGGCCTCGAGCCCCGCATTGACCTCGAAGCGCGCCGAATACAGCGCAACCGCGCCCATCCCAAATAAACGAGCGCACCCAACACGCGCGCTGCCTGGCCACTGTATCCGGCCCTGATGGTCGCACCAAAAATCGATGCACTTCTTCGCCAGCACGGCCGCGCCGCCCTGGAAGGCCCCCCCCCCTCGACGATGACAGGGGCGGAATGCCACGGCCCAGCCCTCGCTCCTCAGCGCGCGCCAAAGCACCAAGAGTCGCCCACCTGACTGTTTGCGCTCCTGCGCGAAAGGGTTTTTTCCTGGACGAGTGGAAGGACGTCCCGTCCTGTGCCCCAGGAGGTCAGGTTGGCAAACTGGGGCGGGCCTGCTGCTGCTCATCCTCGGACGGGCTGCATTCAGAGGTCACCTCATCAACTCCGACGTGCTTCTGCTACTGCGGAAGGCGCTGTCTCTTGTGCATTCCCATAGGCTCTTTTGCTGTCCTCCGACTTGCAGGCCTCGGTGGTCTCCTCGAAGTCGCCGCCGCCGAGGTCCGTGTCATCTGGGGTCGGCACCTGCTCGCCATCCTCCTCGGCCTCCGCGCTGTCATGCTGGTTGGCCGCAGTCCGCGATTGGCGAAGAGCTCGGCGACCAAATGGCCACCACTTCAGGACCCAGGTTGGCGGCATCAGGCGCCATGGCCAGGAAGCGCTGGGCGTCGCGCTCCGTCTCTGCCGAAGGCGCTGAGGCAACCGCCAGAAGCATGGCACGCAGCATAGCCTGGCTGAGGCTGGCCTCCAACTCCGCGATGGTGGCTGTGGCCTGGGTGATGACGGCCTCGTGGTCCAGCACCGCCTTCTCCGCCTCCTCGACCATCTTTTTGGCCTCGAGCACGTCGGACTGCTTGTCTTTGAGTTTGGCCAGCAGCTGGACTCGTTTCGTTCTGGCATGGTCCACCTTCGCGCCCAGGGAGCTGACTTCGGCCTGCGGTCCTCGGGCTGCAACGCGCTGCTGCTTGAGCTTGGACCGATCTGCCTCGAGCTGGGCCACGTCGGTGCCACCCATGCGCAGCGTGGGGAGCGTCTGCTCGAGGCTGGCGATATTGCTGTCGAGCTCCAGGGCGGCAGGGTCCACCGCGGGCCCGGAGGTCTGCGAAGCTCCTGCGGCCGCCGCGGGTGCCTCCGCTGGTGTTCCCGCCCGTGTTGAGTTTATCCAGCGCCACCATAACGTTGGCCATGCCCGCCTCCAGCCGTTGCAGCCTAGGGCCATCCGCTCCGCCACCTCCGCGCTGAGCAGGCGGGCGGGACAGCGACCTGGCCCTGGCAGGGGATCCGCGCTTGGCCATAGCCTCCTGGTGCGCATGCTTGGCCTTGCACACGACAGGGCCCGGGGCGTCACGGCCGCAGAAGCAAACCACCCGGTTGGCCCAGAGCCCCTCCTGGCGACAACCTGGGCACCTCCAGTGCGGCGCCTTGGACACCAGCAGCACCTTCATGCCCGCAGGCACACTCGCAGCAGCGCCAGCAGCACCAACGTGCGGCGGCATGGCCGCGGCGGCCACGGGTCTCTCGATGCGCTCGCTGTGGCGGCCAGCCAGCGCCAGGGCGAGCGGCCTCCAGGCGCAGGGTGGCCCGCGCGCTGGCCCTCCGCCTCCGCAGCCTGCGGTGCCACGCGGGCGAGCGCGAGCGACTATGGCGCCGCTCAGTCGTTTGGGTTGCACTGCCCCCCCGCGCAGGGCTGGCAGCGTCTTGGGCCTCGCGAAATCGGGCCGCCCCAACAGCCCGAGCGCGAAACGCCTTGCGCCCATCAGAAGGAGCAGGAGAAGGAGCAGGAGGAGGAGGAGGAGGAGGAGGAGGAGGCAGATAAAGAGGAGGAGGAAGAGGACGAATGAGGGGAGGGAGGAGGAAGTGCATAGCGTCGGGGCGGGCGGCCAGCGTGCCCGCCCACTGCGGGGCGCGCCCGCTGGAGACGCCTGGCCCGCCGCTGGCAAGCCGCGATCTTCTGCCGCAGCTCCTGGGGCGGCGCGCGGACCGTGGCGTCGAGGACCACTCCGACGCCGACGACGACGACGACGACGACGACGATCGACGACGACGACGACGACGACGACGACGACGACGACCACGGACGACGACGAGAGACGACAACGAGAGACGACGACGACGACGACGACGACGACGAAAGACGAAAGACGACGACGACGACGGAAGACGATGACCACGGACGACGACGAAAGACGACGACGACGACGCCCACGATGACAATGACGACGACGACGACGATCGACGACGACGACGACGATCGACGACGACGGAAGACGACGGAAGACGACGACGCCGACGACGAGTCTGAGCACGATAGATGACGACGACGACGCCGACGACGACGACGATCGATGACGACGGAGACGATGGAAAACGACAGCCACAACCGACGAATCCGACGCCGACGACGATCGACGACGCCGACGACGAAGACGACGGAAGACGGCGCCGACGACGACGAAGGAAGACAACGGAAGACGACGACGAACCCGACCACGATCGACGATGACGACGCCGACGACGACGATCGACGACGGCGACGAAGCCGACGACGCCGACGCCGACGACGACGATAACGACGACGACGGAAGACGATGGAAGACGACGACCACGATCGACGAGACGACTGCCGACGACGACGACGCAGGCGACGACGACGACGATCGACGACGACGAGAGACGACGACGCCAACGACGAATCCGACGACAATCGACGGCGAGACAACGACGACGACGACGACGACGACGACAACGCCGACGACGATCGACGACAACGACGACGGCGACGACGACGAAAGACGAAAGACGACGACGACGACGACGACTCCGACCACGATCGACGTCGACGACGACGACGACGACGACGATCGACGACGACGACGACGACGCCGACGCCGACGCCGACGACGACGACGACGACGACGACGACGACGGACGACGACGGAAGACGATGGAACACGAAGACCATGATCGACGAATCCGACTCCGACGACGACGACGTTGCGGACGACGACGGGAAGACAACGGAAGACGACGACGAACCCGACGACGACCGACGAACCCGCAGCTGACGACACCGACGCCGACGACGACGACGGCGATCGACAACTACGACGGATGACGACGACGATGGAAGACGACGACGCCGACGAATCCGACCAAGATCGCCGACGACGCGGCGGACGACGACGACGATCGACAACGACGACGCCGACGACGACGACGCCGCCGACGACGACGACGAGTCCGACGACGAAGACGATGGAAGACCACGACCACGATCGACGAATCCGACGCCCACGACGCTGACGCCGACGACGACGACGACGACGACGATCGACGACGACGAGAGACGACGACGCCAGCGACGAATCCGACGACGATCGAAACGACGACGCCGACGACGATGACGACGCCGACAACGACGACGATCGACGACAACGAAGTCGACGGAAGAGAACGACGCCCATGACGAATCCGACCACGATCGACGACGACGACGCCGACGACGAAGACGATCGACGACGTCGACGACGACACCGACGACGCCTACGACGACGACGACGACGGACGACGACGACGGCAAACGATGGAAAACGACGACGACGATGGACGAATCCGACACCGACGACGACGACGACGCCGACGACGACGACGGAAGACGACGACGGGAGACTTCGGAAGACGACGGAAATCGACGAATCCGGCCACGATCGACGACGACGACGCCGACGAAAGAAGACGATCGACGGCAACGACGACGCCGCCGACGACGAAGACGACCATGACGACGGACGACGACGGAAAACAACGACGACGACGACGAGACCGACGACGATTGACGCCGACGACGACGGAAGAAGGCGCCGACGACGACGACGGAAGACGACGGAAGACGACGACGCCAACGACGAATCCGACGCCGTCGACGACGACGCCGACGACGACGACGATCAACGACGACGGCGACGACGGAGAACGACGATGAAGGCGACGAATCCGACGACGTTGGACGGATCCGCCGACGCCCGCGACGAGGCCGACGACAGAAGACGATCGATGACGATCCAACGACGGAAGACCATGGCGACGACGAAGAATCCGACCACGATCAACGACGACCGGAAGCGACGACGACGACGACGATTAATGATGACGACGCCGACGACGACGACGACGACGTTGACGAACGATCGACGATGATCGACGACGACGATCGACGACGACGGATGACGACGACCACGATTGACGAATCCGATGCCGACGACGACCACGACGACGCCAACGTTTCCGACGATCGACGACGACGGAAGACGACGACGATGACGACGAATCCGCCGACGATGACGACGCCGACGATGATCGACGGAAGACGACGGAAGACGACGAATCCGACGACGAATCCGACCACAATCGACGACGAAGACGACGCCGCCGACGACGACGACGACGGAAGACGACGAAGACGGAAGACGATGGTGGAAGACGGTGATAACGATCGACGAATCCGACGCCTACGACGACGACAACGAAGACGACGACGACGCCGACGACTACGACGTCGGTCGACGAATCAGCAGCCGACCATCGACGATGCCGACGACGACGACGACGAAAGACGACGACGGAAGACGACGGAAGGCGACGACACCGACGACCCATACCATCACGATCGACGACGACGACGCCGACGACGACGACACCGACGACTACGATGACAATCGACGACGACGGAAGACGATCGACGACGACTGCCACGACGACGACGACGACGAATCCGACGCCGACGCCGACGACGACGACGGAAGACGACGACGACGACGACGACGACGACGACGACGACGACGACGACGACGGCGGACGACGGAGGAGGACGACGCAGAAGATAAACCCGACGACGATCGACGACGCCGACGCAGACGACGACGACTACCGACGACGATGACGACGATCGACAAATCCAAAGCCCAAGACGACGACGACCTCGACGACGACAACGATCGACGAAAACGGACGAAGACGGAAGACGACGACGCCATCGACGAATCCGACGACGAACGACGAATCCGCCGCTGGCGACAACGACGCCGACGACGACGAGACGACTACGATCGACGACAGAAGATGACCACGGCCGGCGACGAATCCGACCAACATCGACGACGACGACGCCGACGACGACGATCGACGACGACGGCGACGACGCCGACGAAGACGACGCCGACGACGACGGCTATCGATGACGACGGAGGACGATGGAACACGACGACGACGACGATCGACGAAGCCGACGCCGACGACGACGACGACGACGCCGACGACGATTCCGACCACGATCGACGACGACGACGGAAGACGACGACGACAACGATCGACGACGACAATCGACGAATCAGCAGCCGACCATCGACGATGCCGACGACGACGACGACGACGAAAGACGACGACGGAAGACGACGGAAGGCGACGGAAGACGACGACGCCGACGACGAATCCGATCACGATCAACGCCGACGACGACGACGACAACGACGATCGACGACGACGGCGACGACGCCGACGACGACGACGCCGACGACGGCGGCGATCGACGAAGACGGAAGACGATGGAACACGACGATGATGATCGATGACGACAACGACGAGGGGGATCGACGACGACGACGACGGAAGACGATGGAAGACGACGACGCCGACGACAAATCCGACCACGATCGACGATGACGACGACGGAAGACGACGACGACGATCGATCGACGACTACGACGACGACGCTGACGATGACGACGACCACGACGACAACGGCGACAACGACGGTCCGCGGCGACGGAAGACAGTGGAAGACGGCGATCACGATCGACGAGTCCGCCGTCGACGACGAAGACGACGCCGACGACGACGATCGACGACGTCGCCGACGACGGAAGACGACAACGGAAGACAACGAATCCGAGAACGATCGACGACAACGACGATCGACGACGACGGAAGGCGACGAGGACAACGACGCCGACGACGAATGGGGCTTCGATCGACGACGACAACAACGACGATCGACGACGACGACGTCTCCGACGATCGACGACGCCGACAACGTCGACGATCGACGACGACGGAAGACGATGAAAGACGACGACAACGATCGACGAATCCACAACCGACGACGACGCCGACGACGACGACGACGATCGACGGCAACGCCGGACGACGACGGACAATCGACGACGACGACGACGCCGACCCCGACGCCGACGACGACGACGGGAGATGACGGAAGACGACGAATATGATCGACGAATCCGCCGCCGATGAAGACGACGACGAAGACGACGACGATCGACGACGACGGAAGACGACGGAGGACGACGACGAAGGCGACGAATCCGACGACGGTCGGCGAGCCCGCAGACGCCCGCGATGACAACGACGATCGACGACGACGGAAGACGACAGAAGACGATCGCGACGACAACGAATCCGACCACGAACCACGACGACGGAAAGCGACGACGACAACGATCGACGATTACGACGCCGACGACGACGACGATGACGACGACGACGACGCCGACGACGACGGACGATCGACGACGCCGACGACTACGACAAGACGACGACGGAAGAATATGGAAGACGAAGACCAAGATCGACGAATCCCGACGCCAACCATTACCCCGACGACGCCATCGTTGACGACGATCGGCGACGAAAGACGACGACGGAAGACGACGACGCCGACGACGAATCCGACGGCGATGGACGAATCCGTCGCCAACGGCGACCACGACGATCGACGACGACGGAAGATGACGGAAGTCGACGACGCTGACGGCGAATCCGACAACGGCCGACGACGTCGACGCCAACGACGAAGACGATCGACGACGACAACGCCGAAGACGGCGGCGACGCCGACGATGACGACGACGATTGACGACGACGACGACGACGCCGACGACCAACGACGAC